ACGTGTTTGGGGTTTTGTATATTTGCTTGACAATACACAACAGTCATTTTATTTCAACCTATAATTTACCACCTAAAAGCCATGTAATAGCAATAAAACAGTGTTGTGTAACAGCCATTAAAGGCAATTCCCTTAATAGGCTATTTCTTTCTGCATTTTGCTGCAGGTGGGTATGAACAGAGTTGACCAAAGCACATTTTTCACAAAATCCTCAGGTAGGTAGTCTACTTCTGTAGAACCATGGATCATTGCTGCCCAGTCGAGCAGTTAGAGTAATTTTCAATTCCACTAAACAAGCAGACAACCAGGCAAAATGAAAATTAATAGCAGCGCTCACAGCTTTTTCAGAGAAAAGCAGGAAGATGTTTGATTTGTCAAAATGTGTGCATGTACCTTTTTTTTTACATTTTGTGTTGGATCATCGTTAAACTTGTCAGTTTTTTCAGTTCATGATATTCTATAGAATATGTTAAAAGTGACTCTTTTTTGTTTTAAGCACATCATTTTCATACAAGCTAATCCACTCATGCAGAGTGCCTTATTTTGGCAACAAATATCGCAACCTGTCAAAGCTCCCGTTTCTTCAAGGCAGCCTTCCTTCTGTGCATTTACGCACAGATGAAGTGCAAGCTGCCACTCTGGCAAGCAAAGACAGAGTAGTTGTATCGTCTATGATCTTTCTTACCCCTGAATTTTAAAATCAGGGCTCATTTTATAGAACCTGCAAATTAAACAAATATTGAGTCATTAAAATTCACCCACATAGTTTGTATAGAGTCTGTGTAGCTTACTTCCAATACATGTGATCTGTTTATCTCTCGTTTGACAGCACATTTTCTCTCTCTGTTTTTGGTGTTGTGTTCAGTTAAAGGTGGGAACATTTACCTAAAATCAGTAGAAATATAAATAAAAAGGTTGCCTTATGCTCTGCAGGAAGCTGTACAAATCATGTTATTCTGTTGTTGTCACAGAACAACCCAGAATGAAGGTCCGAGTGGACAGCAGTGAGTAGAAAAGTAAACTTGAAGCTGATACATTACTGTACACTGAATGCTATTGTGAGCATAGTATAGTGGTTGTGCCGGGGTCGGGCATGGCCTAGGTGGAGGACAAGGACGTTGATAAAACTCAACAATCTAGTGGAGATATACGAGTTCAGCGGTCTTGCAGCCTCCTGTATGTTGCTCCTCCTGGGTGCTCTTGTACGAACGAGGCACACCATCCTGTCACCAGAGTAACTTGTCTCTCTGCCACCAGACTGACAACAAATTGCTCTTACAATGCAGGTTGCCCAAATTAAACTTATCTGAGCATTCACAGCCTTTGCCTTCACCCTGTGGTCTCTGTAGCCAGTTCTGGGGGTTCAACAGGGATAGATAACATGGCACACATGTAGATTGGAGCGAGTATGACTCACAATCCAGGCCTAAACTTCAAAACTCAATTTCTAGCTTAATATAGTGCTGTAGTTATTGTCTGAGAATGTTTACATGAGCAACTATGGGTTCAAACCTATGTTACAGCTATGTGGCTATGCTGATTGTGTATACTGTAGCTAAATATAATACACAGCTGTCTTTAACTGTTCACAGTAGCAGAATAACCTGTCTGAACTATGTCACTTCATGGACTCCATCCTGATTTAGCCCAAATTAAAGCAATGAGGTTCAACGATATCTTCCCTGTATTATTTGACAAGAGGAGAAAACAGGGTTACAACAAATCAAAGACAAAAATGAAATGATCCTTATCGAAACTCTGTGTAAACAAATACATAATAAATACATAAAAGTCAAATACTTCACGTGGTCTGAGTTGGTGTTGGGTTTAAAGCTAATAGTCCTGGACAGGATTTGTGTTATTTAGGTGCATGCAGCAGTAGCATACTCACGTCAACTGGCTTCAAACAGCCACTTTAATTATCTGTGAGCAGGAACTGCTCACCTTATTAATGCTTGCACATTCTTCCCAAGTGCAAAGGATTGCCTTTGGCAGCGATAGAGGGAGTTTCACCGTAATATTTCCTGCACTAACTTTGCAGGGAATCATTTGTGGGTGGACAGAAACTGCCGTGGTTGTTCTGTGAGCACAGAAGTGGATAGCACACAATGAGGAGGTTAGTTTTTCTTCCAAATAATGGGCTTATAGGAAGACCGCGGAGAACCACAGTTCAAAGTGTTCATCAAAATTCTCACCCTAAGAGCTCAGTCTGCAGCGGTGAAACCAACCTGCTGAGCTATGCTGCAGGAAATCTATAGAAACAAATTAACTCCACGTCTGTTGGTCTGGGCATGTGCACAAGATAACAGGCTTCAATTACAAAGCTCTTTCTCCTAATTGAAACTGCAGCTAATAGCTTAAGTGCTTACTATCTGGGAAAGCTAAAAAATATGTGCAGGAAACTCACTGGATTCCAGCATTTACCAAATGCCCCTTAAGTGTGGGTTTTATCCCTAAAGCCACTGTTTGGAATGGAGCATTTCTCCTTCTTTCATCTTTCTCAACATTCTGTTTGCGAATCACTGGAATTGAAAAAAAGCTTTGCTGCAGGACAGAGAAGGTAACGCGTGGTGGGTGTTCCAGTACGTTCAGCATGCTTGCATAGGCAATGAATCTTATAGTGCACACACTCTACACTTTCTCATAGAAATAAAATGTTGTTGATGTGTTTTTTATTATTATTATTATTATTATTATTATTATTATTATTATTATTATTATTATT